ACTACAGTCTTTTAAGATGAAGGGTAGATCAAAGAAATGTGTGAAACCATACAACAATAAAAATCACAGGAAAACATGAAGTCTCCTCATAGAGAGGACCAGGGGCTCTGTCTGAGAATCTAGCATTTGCTCTCAGACTGCAAAAATAAGAACTCCTAATGCTACATGGCACCATACACTACACTATATGTGGGTGATGGGCACAAGGTGATCCAACCCAAGAACAATCCAAGGTCATTGGAAGCATTCACATGGAAAAGGTAAGAATATAGGGCTTTATTTTTCTGGTTTATATGGCTGAGTAACATATAAAAATGAAATTGTCTCCACTATAATCAACAAACTTGACTAAAAGGGCAGTCTTCCTGAAAAACATGCAAATTTTAAGTCCTTGACTTTAGGAAACACAGAAGACTTACTCTTAATAAAATACCTGGATTCTTCAGAATATATTTATGATCATTTATTATATCACTATTCGTATACAAACTTATACAATAATTGGCTGGAAAGTAGTAATTGCCTAAATAACTTAGCACGACATCTCATTTCATAAATTTGGTATTTAATCCATGGGGACACAGTAAATCTTGCTCCTTCTTACACTAAACTTAAAATATAAAAATATAAAATATTTTTACTGCCAAAGGACAAAAGAGATAGTGAAACAAACTCTGACTTAAGGTTTGTGGACTTCCTGGATACTATTTGTGGCACATGCTTGCAGCACAAAGTAGAAACTTGCCTTAGGCTGCGCCTTAGTTTTATTTATTTTATCTTTCTTTGTGCTTGAGTGGAAAGCACAATAGCTCTTGCATTTATGATTTGGAAAACTATTGGATTCTATGTATGCAAACTTCACCTGCAAAGTAGACTCTAGAAAGTGTAGCAATTAATCTTTGTTGAAACTCGGAACAAACTCAGGCACAAGCATGATGCCTAGTTCAGTGCCAATAGCTTTAACATAGGGAATGCATACTTCTGCAGAACTGGGAGAGCAGTGGGAACCTGTTTACTTTTTACTTGTCTACAGTGCCATGTGGGTCAGTTCCCTGGCTGGACAAAGAACAGAATAGTCAGAGGTAGAGCTTATGACACTGTCTAAGCTTATTGAAAAAGCAATAGTAGCAGCTGGCTCTCAAAATCAAAGTTGTTGATGAGGGCTTACCCCAAGAAATGCTTTCAGGTGCTCTAGAGGTGGTTATCTAATTCCTAGATTCCCCGTGATCAAATTATAGTGAAAGATCCCTTTCTAGAAGTAAAAAATAATAAATAAATAAATCACAAATGAATCAAAATAATTGGGTTCCCTCCTCCAAATTAGGCTGTGCCTGGGCCAATGACTCTAGTGGACTCGGCCCTCATTTCTGAACAATAGACAGTTGCAGTGGATCCTCCCTGATGGTGCAAAGGGTTAAATCACAACACTATGATGCAATCTGCAGCCACTATAGCATAAGTTCAATCCCCAGCCAGGGAACTGACCCACCTGGTGCCGTAGACCTCTTCTGTCCTGCCTGCTGCTCCCCTCAGCAGTGTACTCTGTCTCTGGTGAATCCTCTCACCCTCCCCTCACCCCCACACACAACTCTGGCCTGTACCCCAGTTCTTATATACATAAATAAATAAACATTTAAAAAAAATAGACAGTTGCAGTGGGGAGCTCCTATGTAGTTGTTGAAAGAAAAGCAGGTTTCCTATAAACACAGTAAGAAATATTAGAGAGAGGCAACTATACATCCTATACTATACAAAAATTCTATTAGGGGAAATGTGGATAAAAATGTCTGGTTAGCTAAAATGTGGCACAAAAATTTGTTTAAAAATTGAAAAAATAATCTCTTTTCTATAACCTTCTTTTCTGTACTTGCCTACCTTTTATAATGTAAATGTAATTCCAGGGCTTACCTAGAGTATATCCAATATTATCACTGAATGGGAGTAATGGGTATTTAAATATAGGTCAATGTCCTAGAGGAAAAAGAAATTCCTCTTTAGAAGGTCAGTACTGTTGAGCTCTCTCTGATAATTGGAATGGTTTCTCATAAGGCAAATTGTGAGGGAAACAATATAGAATCCCACCACTTGAGCTGAGAGGTTCTCTGGTATTTTTAGAGAAAGTGCTGATTCAGGTTCAGTGTATGTTCAAAACTAGAAACTTTCCTTATCTGTTTTCCTTGGCAAGACAGGTTTTTTTCTGGGCACAATGTCTTAGCATCCATAAAATTAAAGAACAAAGTTATACAAGGATTTTAGTAAGCAAAGATGTCATAGCAAAGTCATAGTAGGCAAGACCTACATTTGACTGGGGAACAATACATCATCTTTGGGCAGGAATTAGGTACAGTAATTCCAGTCCTAAAAGTTAGCTTTTCAGATTTTTCCTGCTTCATATAGCTCCTTGTGGGTTTTAAACAATAGAATGAGATGCATTTATTCAGAAAGAGAACATATTAGATAATCCTATTCCCTTTTCTCTTTAGTCAGTTATGTTTACAAGGAAGATGTGTGAATATATTTCTATTGTAATTTGATGAAGTTGGAATAAAAATGAGCTACACCTGTAACATTCCTGGCACTTCATCACAATGTTCATATAGACTCAGTTACTTCTGTTCAGTATCTAACCCCAACACTATAGGTTGATGGCTAGACCAAAACATAACACAAATTATCTAAGAGTTCTCACACCAGAGACTCACCTGTGACCAACACTTCAAATTGTGCCTCATTGTAGTATTCGGAGCTTTCAAAGTAACACTTATATTCCCCATCATCTGAAGGTTTGATGGAATGGATCCTTAAGGTCACCTGCCCTTTGGCAATATTCTCCATCAGAAGCTCTGTCCTTCCTTTGTACTCAGACATCTGATGTGCCATATGATCCTTGGAAGCACCATAATGATGCACCACACCTGGAGGCTGGTTTCGGTACCATTTCACCTCCATGTTCTGAGCATCCATGATTGGGTTAAGATTGCAGGATATCACAGCCTCTTCCCCAACTACAGCAATGACTGGTTCTGTTGGTCCATTCACATGGAATTGACCTGGAAGTAATTAAGAAAAGGATGGAATCATCCCTGAGCTTGTTGAAAGCACTGTTGTGACCCTCTGAGAGAGAAAATAGACTAGTTCAACTAGAAAAATGAGCCATATTCAATGAATGATAGATCTACAGTAATTATCTCCAAAAACACTGCTAATATGAGGTCATGAAATCAATGGGCAACAATAATAAGATCTTTATCAAAATTTGTGTTTTATCACTTGCCTAGGATTGGACTTCAAATTTATATAACTCACTTATTGAATTGTAAAATTCCATGTGTTATTGAAGAATATTTGCATTTTACAGTGAGGAAATTTAGCCAGTGAACGATTAATAATTAAGTAAGTAAGTGATGATTTATTCCTTATTGTATACTCTAAGGCACAAATTGATAATCCTAATATCAACAACCAAGTGTTCCCTTGATTTAAGTGATATGTTACCCAATATAGCATAAGCTATAAATATAATGTGAAACCAAAAAATGCTATCTTTGCATTATGAAAAAATACAGTATGTGAATAGAACACTATTAACAATCACATCAAACAAAATGAAATGTCTAGGAATTAACTTAACTTAACCAGAGAAATGAAGGACTTATACAATGACAACTACAAAACATTATTAATATCTTAATAATAAAACATAAATGAAAAAGCATTAGATGGTCATGGATAGTAAAAATTGATATAACCGAAATGACTTTTCTACCAAAAGCAATATATAAATGTAATGCTATTTTCATCAAAATGCCACCAAAATTCTTCAAATAAATTGAAGTAAATATATTGAAATAGATTTCAAATCATAAAAGACCTCAAATAATAAAAACAATGCTGAAACAAAAAAGAAAGGAAGGCATGTTACCTGACTTTGAACTACTGTAAAATAAGGGAACTAAGAAAGATATGGTACTTGCATTAAAATATATACATGGATCAATAGGATAGAATTGACAGCCCAGAAATAAAACCATGTTCCCATAAGTACTTAATTTACATAAAAGAGCCATCACCATACAATGGGAGAAGGAGGACAACTAGTAAATAGTACTTGGAAAGTTGGAAGGCAACATGTAAAAGAAAAAAGCTGACTCGCTTTTTAACCCCATGCACAAAAGTACCAAATGGATTAAATATTTAGATAAGATCTGCAACAATAAAAAATACAGAAGACTACTTTGGTGATATATTCCATAACATCACTTGATCATAGCCAAAAGGCCAAGAAGTGTTGATAAAGATATTTTGGAGAATTGAGATTACACATGGTAAGGGAGATATAAGCAAAAATAAACAACTGGTTTATCACATATAAAGAGACTTTTTACAGCAAAATAAAGTATAAGTAGATTAAAAAGATTTCTTACTGAATGGGAGAAAATATTTACATATTTCACAAGTGACAAAGGGTTAATATAGAAATATTATATTAGTATTTTTATAACATTTTAAAATATATACAATTTACCAACAGAAAAAAACCCTAATTAATAAGTAGGCAACATATATTAACAGACAATTCACCAAAGAGAATATACAAAAAAAATCAACAGATACATGAAAAAATGTTCATTACTTATTTTTCATAGATGTAGCAAAGCAAAACCTCAAGTTAAATGCATACAGATGGGTGACACCCTATCCTTAGAGGACCTTTCTGCTAGTAGAACAGAAAATCAGCCTCAATGGAACCAAGATCACTAAAAAGAGAATTCATGATCAATTTATAAGCAAAGGGTGCAACAATGAGGAAAATTCAGTGACAGGATTTAAAAAATCTCTATTTATGGAATGATTTTGGACTAATTATAATTTACCACTCTGTATTCCCTTGTTTCTGATCCCAATAAATAAATAAATAAATAAATAGTCTTTAAATAGCCCCTGTTCACTTCTGGCAAGGAAGGTAGATTTCCTCCTGCCTCCTTGTCAGATGATCTCAAAATAAACTTTTTCATTTCTCAAAAGCCAGTACAATAGCATTCACTTTATGTATGTTTGGCAGTGAACGTTGCCAAACTAGGCTTAAAGGTATTGTGAGTATTTTTTATCTGTGGTTTTATTTAGTACAGATACAAAGTGGACATGGGCTGTCCTCTTATTTTCTTACTGTGCAGCCTAACCTTGGAATTGGTACTCTAATGTTATCTGGAACTTTTTTTTTTTGCATCATGAAACTTCTTATTTATTGACTTTAATTCTTTGTTTACACTTAAGTGCTACAATAAAAGATCTGTACACTACCTCTGTTTAAAATATAGATACTTAAAAAGAAAAACTAATAAAATATAGATACTGCTTAAAGTGACCTAATATAGCCTAATGTTGGAGTTTTATATTTGAAAGTGGAAAAAAAACCACATGGTATTTATTCACTAGTTATCTTAATAAAAAACTCCATCTGTTTCCCTTAGTCTTAAACTAGTTTATTATAAGATGTTAGTATAAGGCAATGAATGAAGTTATGTTGATTCCTTTAACTTTTCTAACTATGTGCTAATGACAGACAACCTAAATAATTAATTATTTTAGCAATTACTAATTGCTATCTTTTCTGTCATTAAAATTAATATTAGTTAATACCAATTTCATAGCAGGCTAATACATTTTTAGTATTGCATCGAAAATAACTAGAAGCATAATATTTGGTGTTAAGTTAGGCAAATACAAGCATAGTTACCTATTATTACCAGTTAGAGATTTTGTGTTCTGAAGAGTACAAAGGTTACTAAATTCCTAAGCACAAAACCTCTTACTACAAAAATAAAACCATGTGAACAGAGAGTGAAAGGAAAAGGCGGAAAGGAGGGACGGACGCCGTGAGTCTGTTCACCAGAAAGCCAAATTTTATTCCAGAGCTGAGCTAATATGTACATCAGGGGCATAAGGGGTGGTGTGTCATGTGCCCATTGGCCGGGTCGCGATCAGGTGGGGAGCCAGGTGGGACAGAAGAGTAGCCAGGGGAAAAGGGCCAATGGGTGGGATGGACTGGGCCCATGGCCATATATGGTGGTGAGGTGAGGACAGGCACAGCGTAGGCATGGGCGGTGTCCTTCAGAGAGCACTTCAAATCATTAGTTAGTTAACTATTTATAAACTTAGAAAATATAATTAAATAAATATTTTCCTCAACTAAACAAATTGCCATATCATGGTATGTGTCCAAATAGGTTAAGACTCTGCCTTACTTTCTCATATGTTGCTATTCCCTCCCTCCCTCCCACCAAACCAGAATAATTTAATAACAGCTGTTTATAAATATACTAGGGAAAAATTCTACAATAAACCAATTGGATTGTTACTATTCTACAACCCTAGGTTTAATCTTTGTGACAGGCTTAATTAATCTTTTACAAGACCCTTGTTGTATAGATGCCAAATATTTATCATTTGTACTCTGGCTCCCTTTTCTGACACAGAGTTTATAAAACTTGGAGTTTCCTAAGTGATAGTAAAGCAGGAAGTTTCCCAGTTCTGCTTAGATTTTGCTACTTTCCCAGGCCGGCTGCCTGGGAGGTGTCTGCTGCTTGGCTTCTGCGCTTGCTGGAGCAGTAAGTTCCTGTGTGAGGCTAGTCCACAGCAGTAGCTCTGGCTACCTTGACCCCCTTCCCAGACAATAAAGAATGCTTATGCTGTGATGGATGGGATGATCACACAACCTGTATAAAACTTCACCACTCCTATAATTCAGGGCTCAGCCTTTTGGGATTGATCCCCCTCGTGACAAGTAAATCTTCCTCTCCACCTCTCTGCATGCCGTCTGATTTCTCTGGTGAATTATAATAGGAGGGTCTTTTATTATTCATATGGAGCTTTTAAACATCTGGGTTTATGTATTTGTGTTGACTCTAGGTGGGGCCTCTAGAATACTTTGACTGGGTGCTGATCTCCAGAGGAACCAACATGTTATTAAAGGATTTTTCTCTAGCCAAAAACCTGTGGGGAGAGTTAGGAGGCTGCAGACTTTTCAGTCACCAGAGTCCAATGATTTAATCTAACATGTGTATGTACTGAAACATAAATTTCCATTTAAAAGTCTGAAACAATGAGGAAAGAGAAGTTCCAGATTGGTGAGTATGTCAATGTGTCCTGCGTTGGGGCAGAGTCCACTTGATATAACCCTAATTATATCAAGTTTATAAGGGAGAGCATGAAGACTCTGCTCCTTTACAGCCTTCCAAGCTTGATGTGGAACCATGACAGGAAGGAGAGTGAGAAATCGGGCAAGTGGAGCCACCTGAGAAGATGCTCCCTGTTCTCACTCAGACATGGAGAGAGGCCTCTCTGATAACAATCATGTAAGGTTCTCTTAGGAACAGTTCATCTCACAGAAGGGTGGAGTAGTGTTTCCAAGTTCAAAGGTGAAGTCTCCAATTCTATTTAACCACCTTTAACCTCTGGTCATGGCCAGGGAGCAGCATGGGGATAATGCTGTGATACAGGCTGTGTTCCTGCTTGGGCTCAATGTGAGAGAGTCAGACCCTGTCCTCATTACAGACTGTCCTGGGTCACAGACCTGGGTCTGGATCACTTTTTCACACTCTTCCTAAAACTGTGAACACACTCTTCCTAAAACTGTGAACACACCTACACATGGGAAAAATGAAAGCAGGGAGCAAGTGCACTCTGAACAAGCTGACTCAACTTTTTGTGCAATAATAGGCCAGATAAAGAAGGAAGAAAAATGCACTTTAAAATGAGTGTAATGACAAAATAACAAAGAGATATTTTGAGTTCAGGCTTAAAAACGTACCACCTCAGGGCCCTCCCTGGTGGCGCAGTGGGTTAGATAAAGCACAGCACTAAGAAGCTAAAGCCACTTCAGCAGGCATTCGATCCCTGCCAATCCCTGCCCAGAGATGACCCACATGGCACAGCAGACCTCTCCTGGCCCTCCTGTGGTCCCCCTTGGCAGTGTACTTCGTCAGTTGGCCTGTTCTGTTCCCCACTCCGTCTCTGGTGAATCCTTTCACTGCCTCTTCATCTCTGGCCT